CAAAAACCTCTCCCCTCACTCCCCCACCCCTGTCCCCCAAAAAGTTACAGACAGCGTGGAAGACAATTTCCCAGCTTCTTACAAAGCTAAACATAGTCTTACCATACGACCCAGCATTCTTGCGCCTGGATAGTTACTCAACTGCTTTGAAAACGTATGTCCACACAAAAGCCTGCATGCAAATATTTATGACAGTTTTATACCCAATTGCCAAACACTGGAAGTGACCAAGATGTTCCTCAGGAGATGAGGGGATAAACGAACTGGCACAGGGATACAGTGGAGTACTATCCACTGGTTTTTAAAAAGATGCTATTAAAGCCACGGCAAGACCTGGACAAACCTTAACTGTGTACCGCTAAGTGAAAGGGGCCCGTCTGGAAAAGGCAATCTCCACAGTGGAAAAGTCTATAGTTATCAGGGGCTTAAGAGGGGGAGGTGGGCTGAACGCGGAGCCCACGAGTTTTATTTATTTGTTGTGTTTCAGTGAGACTTCTGTATGAGACTCTAACGGTGGGTATGTAATCTATGCACCTGTCAAAACCTGCAGTATTATACAGCGCAAAGAGAATGTATCTGAGTTTTTCTAAAGACTTATTTTAATTGACTTATTTTTTTTTAAATATTTTTTATTTAATTTTATTTGATTAAAGAAGGAAAGAGTGAGGGACAAGCAGTTAGCATAATGTCTATGTCGCTGGACTCCCACATAGTCGACCGTGGTTCGAGTCCCAGACCCGGTGGCTTAAACTCACGCCGGGCGCGTGTGCGTGCGTGCCCAAGATCCCAAGAGGAGGATGGAGGAGAAGGGATTGTGGTATGGCCATCCCCCCCGGGGGGTGATTTCTCGCTTTCTGTCTCTCTGTCTCTGTCTATCTGGCGAGCGCACACGCCTTATAGCAAAAACCTCTCCCAAAAAAAAAGAAGAAAAAAACAATGGGGACAGAGTGAGAAAAAGAGAGAGGGAAAGTGAGAAAACAAGCCACCAGGTCCAGGACTCGAACTGCAGTCAGCCATGTGGGCATGCAGTGAGTGCCCTTAACCACCATACCACCTGCTGATCCCTACTTATTATTTTTTTAACTTGACCAGAGAGAGAGAGAAAGTGAGAAAGCAAGTCACCAGGTCTGGGACTTGAACGACAGTCAGCCATGTGGGAGTCCAGTGCCTTAACCACCATGCCACCTGCCAGGCCCATGTGTGCAAGTTTTTGTTTGTTTTTGTTGTAGGGTACATGTGCTTACCAGAGAGAGACAGAGAGGGAGAGGGAGAGAGAAAGTGAGAGATCATCCCCCAGGGGAGATGGCCACACTGCAATCTCTTCTCCGCCATTCTCTCTCAGGATTTTGGGCATGCAGGTACACCTGCCTAGCATGATTTTTCAGGCTACTGGATCTGGGATTTGCAGCCATGTGCGAGTCCAGTGCCTTAACCACCACGCCATCTGCTGGCCAACTGCATAGAATTAAAAAAAAAAATCTTTAGGAGATTGCGGGAGCCCAGGATGGACTGCAGACTAAGATCAAATCTGATTATATCAGAAGTGTAAGAAAAAATACACGCATTTTAAATTAAGCTATTAAACTGTTGGCTTCCGATTGAATCGCCTTGTAGTCAGAAGTCAGACCTGTGATGTTACGGAGTCTTTGAAACGTGTTGAAACTTGCTCCATGTCTCGTACATAGTTTTTCAAAATGTGCCAGAGAGACTTGAGGAAAAAGGGAATATTCTCTAGTTAGCATTTCATACGCAGCCCTTAGCTAAAGCTTGTTAATTGTCAGTGAAATAATCTACATATTTGCTAAGCTTTTAGAGATAATAGCTGACCTAGTGAAAGAGCTGCATTAAAATGTCTCATTGTGATTTTGCACCTGTCAGTTTCTCCTGTCCGCTCTGCCCATTGCTGTTTCATACAGTTAAAAATATTTATCAGGTCCATATATATTTAAAACTCACTTTTTTTCCTTTTTTTTATTTGAATTTTTGAGAGGTTTTTGCTATAAGGCGCGTGCGCTTGCCAGAAAGAGAGAGACAGAGAGACAGAAAGCGAGAAATCACGCCCTCCCCCCCCCAGGGAGGATGGCCACACCGCAATCCCTTCTCCTCCATTCTCCTCTTGGGATCTTGGGCACGCACACACATGTGCCCGGCGTGAGTTTAAGCCGCCAGGTCCGGGACTCGAACCACGGTCGACTACATGGGAGTCCAGCAACATAGCCATTACGCCAACTGCTGGTCCCAAAACTACCTTTTTTGTGTGAGCCATTACGCCAACTGCTGGTCCCAAAACTAACTTTTCTGTATATACTGGTCCTTTATCTTTAGATAGTGAATATCTCTATTCCAGACGATCCTTTATTTTGATCGGTAGTAATGTAGCTACCTCGACTTTTAAAAAATTAATGTTGGCCTAATGTAACTTTTTCTCTCCTTTTCCTTTCTGCCTTTTCCTATCCTATGCTTTAAGTGTGCCTTCTTATAGGGTGACCAAATTGTCATCGAAATCACAATTTTAAGAGGGAAAGGGAACCCTATATACCATTTCATCAATGCAACAGACAGAAATACTGTTCTGACTTACAATACACTATTTAAAAATAGCGTATTCATTTGATTTTTAACAGGCTCAATCCAGACAGTTCTTGTAACTTGTGATAATATATTTTGAATCATTTTGCCAGTCATAATTACTGTAGTCCACATTTTTTTAAAAAGAATTATTTTATTTAACTTTATTTATTTATTTTAATTTGACCAGGGAGAGACAGAGTGACCGAGAGAGAGAGAGAGAGAGTGGGAAAGCAAGCCGCTAAGGTCTGGGACTCAACCCGCGGTTGGCCATGTGGGAGTCCAGCGTCCTTAAACACCATGCCACCTGCTGGCCCCGGAAGTCCACTTATTCTAAACTGCCTTATCTTTTTTCCTCTTTCCTTCACATTTTTCTGGGTTGAGATGTTTTTGTTTCTGCTTTTGTTTTTCCCAGTGTGGTTTTCTAGCTGTAGTATTAGAGTGATTATTCTTTGAATTTTATCATGGAAACATAACTTCAAAATCTTGATTCTCCTGAACAACAAAATAACCCTCATTTTTTTTAAGAATTATTTTATTCAGCTTTATTTGACTATATATTGTAATTGACCATAGAGTGAGAGAGAAAGAGAGAGAGAGAGAGAGAGAGAAGAGAAAGTAAGAAAGCAAACTGCCAGGTCCAGGACTTGAACTACTGTCAGCCATGTGAGAATCCAATGCCTTAAACCACCATGCCACCTGCTGGCCCCCAAAATAACCCTCTTAACAACAGAGTTTAAGATCCTTTGACTCCTGACAGTATTTTTATTAACTAATAACAATTAATATTTGAATTGAATTGGCATTTTAAAAAAACTTTCTTTTTTCTTTAAGGATGATTTTATTTAACTTTATTTACTCATTTATTTATTTATTTATTTTCATTTGACCAGAGAGGGATAGAGTGAGAGAGAGAGAGAAAGTGAGAAAGCAAGCCACCAGATCCAGGACTCGAACTGCAGTTGGCCATGTGAGAGTCCAATGCCTTTAACCACCTTCTACTTGCAGGCCCGAATTGGCCAAAAACCTCCCTTCAGAGCGTCTGTTTCTGCTGGTCGCCAAGGATGCCCCCACCTAGGACCACTTTAGCATGGCTGGGGATTTTGGCTCAGAACAGAATTAGTTTCCCCCTCCTTGCTGCTGTTCCCAGGTGACACCCCCATGGCCTGTATTGCTCCCCGTCCTTCTCCCCTCACCGGCCTCAGGGCCCCTCTTTGCTGTAGGTTGTCCTACTATGCCAGGGCTTAGGCACCAGCCTGGGCTCCCCACCGCTCTGAACTCCTACCGTGGCACCAGCTTCAGGCCGCGCTGGAGACAGATCTTTGTTTGATGAAGGAAGGGCCCCTGGGGACAGACCTCTGCTGCCTTTCAGAAGCCGGGTGGCGCTGCAGTGTGTGTGAACCGAGTTCCAGTCGTAGGGATGTGGAAGGAGAGCACTTCAGAACAGTCATTCACGACAAACAGAAGCACAGCCCATTCTAAGACATTAAAATCTTAATGGGGGCCAGCCTGTGGCCCAGTGGTTAAGATGGCTGGATCCACATGGCCAAACACGAGGTTTGAGTCCCAGACCTGGTGGTTTGAGAAGCATACCGGGGGCGTGTGCCTGCATGCTCGAAATCCCCAAAGGAGAGATAAATGAAGCAGAAGGGATTGTGGTGTGAGCATTCCCCATGCGGGGGGTGCTTTCTTGCTTTCTCCCCCTTTCTCTGTCTATCCTACAAGCCCACACACCCTCTGGCAAAATTAAAAAAAAAAAAAACTTAATGGAAAGAATATCTTACTTGCCTGAAAACTCGGGAATGGTTGGGCCGCTGGGGCCGCTGGGGAATGAGTTAAAACTAAGATGCTTCAGAAGCAAAGGAGGGGATTACTTAGAACACAATGGTTGAACTCCACAGTGGTCCAAGCCTGAGACCAATCTTGGGTCAGTGGATCCCATGCTGGTCTCCGATGTCTGAGAAGCAATCAGGAAAAACTGAGCTGCATCAGGACTAGCAGATGCTGTAGCAGTTACGTCGCTGGACTCCCATGTAGTCGACCAAGGTTCAAGTCCTGGACCCAGCAGCTTAAAACGCACATCGGGGGTGTGTGTGCATGTGTGCCCAAGATCCCGAGAGGAGGATGGAGGAGAAGGGATTGCAGCGTGGCCGTCCCCCCTGGGGGGTGATTTCTCACTTTCTTATAGCAAAAAGAAAAAGGAGGGGGCCAGCAGGTGGCGTGGTGGTTAAAGTGCTGGACACTCCCACATGGCCGACCACAGTTCGAGTCCCGGACCTGGTGGCTTGCTTTCTCACTTTCCCTCTCTCTCTCTCTCTCTCTCTGTCTCTCTCTGGTCAAATTAAAAAATAAATGAGTGGATAAATAAATAATTTAAAAAAAGAAAAGAAAAGAAAAAGGAAACAATTGAGTTGCATTCTTTCTTCGAACAGATGGCCGGAGAAAACAACGCCGAGGCAGAGCTCAGATCCCAGCCTCCTCCTGGGAGCACAGACCACGATGAGCCATCCATGTGTTCCCTGTCTCTGGAGACGATATTACGCAGACTGAGGGCCTTAGACGTCAAGCAGGATGACAAGCTCGCCAACATTCTGGATGTGGTGGGGGAGTTTGGCACCTTCCAGCGGAGGCTGGTGGCCCTCACCTTCATCCCCAGCATCCTGTCGGCCTTCTTCATACTTGCCGACTACTTTGTGTTTGCAGACCAGGATCCTTACTGCAACACCAGCTGGATCCTGGCCGTGGGCCCCAACCTGTCCGAAGCTGAGCAGATGAATCTGACCCTGCCCCGAGCGCCCAACGGCAGCTTCCTGACGTGCCTCATGTATTTGCCTGTGCCCTGGGACCTGGAGTCGATCATCAAATTTGGCCTCAACAACACGGACACATGTCAGAATGGGTGGATCTATCCTAACTCCAAGAAGAGGTCCCTGATCAATGAGGTGTGCCTTGTCCTGGGCTGTCTGTAGCTACCCCACAGGCCCAGGGATGTGCCCTCGCTCTCTCTCAAGTGGGACACTCTGAGCAGGGAAGCAATTGGCCTGGGGTCACCCTGCAGAGGCAAGGCCAGAGTAGAACGTTAGGGTACCTGCTGCCCAGCCCTGGCCCCATCTGCCTTGAGTAGAACGTTAGGGTACCTGCTGCCCAGCCTTGGCCCCGCCTGCCTCAGCCAGGAAGCTAGAGTGTATTTGGGTAAACGGTATGCCCTCTCTCCAGGGACCTGCTTCTGTATGCATGGCTCTGCCCCGAGAGTGGGGAGAGCAGCCTAAGGGTACGGAGTATTTCCTACAGGGTTTCTCAGCCTACCTGTTCCCGGCCCTTTATAGGCCCTTTAGAGCGCAGTCCTGCCCACTGAGAAGCTCCAGATGGGGCCCGCAACTGCAGGGAAAGGGTCTTTGGTGACGCCCCCCTCTGCTCAGCTCCTCCCAATCCACTTCCCCCTGAGCCTGTGTCTTTGGCCCCTCTCTGCAGGCTCAGCCCAGCGTCTGTCAGGTGCACAGTGGGATGCAGAGGTCACAGGGCTGAGGTGGCAGCCTCAGGTGCCCCAGGTCTCCTCTGCTGAAGGTCCCACTGCCACCAAGCTGAGTCTTAGAAGGCCGACCTCGGTGGAGGCCGGTGGCTAGTCCCTGTGTCTAACCCCCAGTTTGACCTGGTGTGTGGCCTGGAGCCGAAGAAGGACATCGTGCAGACCATGTTCCTGGCAGGCCTTCTCATCGGGTCGCTCATCTTCGGGTTCATAAGCGACAAGTGAGTCTCCCGGAGTTCCCTCTGGCCCCTGGGATGCCCCACCTCCTCCTCCTCATTGCCGTTGGGAGTTGGAAAGCCTCAAGCTGGGGAAGTTGAGTGCTCCAGCCCATGGACTGACCACTCAGGGCCTGGCCCAGGAGTCTGGCTGGGGGGCCAAAGAGGGTCCCTGGATTTAGGGCAGCCTCTCTTCCACGCCTACAGAGTGGGTCGCTACCCTACCATCATGCTGTCGTTGCTGGGACTGGCCATCTTCGGCTTAGGAACAGCCTTCGCGAGCAACTTTCAGCAGTACATATTTTTCCGCTTCTGCGTCTCCCAGGCCGGGGTGGGT